CCACGGACCCGTCATGTCAACCCTGAGCTACAAATATTCTCCTTTCTTAGCAGCTACTAGAGTTTGAAGTGGAGGCTCACGGCCCAAGCAGCTTTCCCTACAACGTAACTTGAACCGTCGTTAAGCAAATGGCCGCTAAGTGAGGATTACCTGTACCTTGCCAAAGCAGGAAGAAGCTACGGTGGCAAGTCATCATTTATTTTTGTTTCTTTACAAACTTTGGGGCCCACTATAGAAAACCCACCCAGAGCAGCGTATACCAATAGTCCTTGACTTACAACAGTTCGTTTAGTGACCATTGGGAGTTACAATGGCATTGAAGAAAAAAAAAAAAGACCGATGACCATTTTCACACTTTTAACTGCTGCAGCATCCCCATGCGGTCACACGATCAAAATTCAGGATTCTTGACAACCGACTCGTATTTATGATGGTTTGCAGTGTCCCGGGGGAGTCACATGATCCCCTTTTGCGGCCATCTCACGAGCCAAGTCAGAGCCAGATTCACTTAACAGCCACGTGGCTAACCCAGGGGTCACCAACCTTTTGGAGCTCAGGGACCACCAAACTCATCATTTTAAATCCCTGTGGACTAGAGACGCTGGGAAAATCCTCAAAACAGTCTGTTAGGAAAATCCCCCACCCCGTTTTCCTACCAATCGATCATTCTTTACTTGGGATGGCAGGTTACCGTCTCCAGCTCCATTCTCAGGGGGTGAGAGAGAGAGAGAGAGAGAGAGAGAGAGACTTCTGGCTTCATGCAAGGAAAGCAGCAGAAGCAGCAGAAGTCTTTCGTTCTCTTTTCCAAACTCTGCCAGAAACGAGTCTTTGCCGGCGCAGCCTCTTGGAGCAGGAGGCCTTGCAGGGTCCCAAAGAGTCATTTCTGGTGGAGTTTGGGGGAGAGAAAGAAAGACTTTGGCTGCTTTCCTTGCGTGCAGCCAAAAGCAGAAGAAGAAAGAAGCAGAAAGAAGCAGCCCGGGGGCCAGGTGAGGTGCCTAGGACGAGTGGGGCAAGTTCCCCCCCTCCACCCTTTCCCGCCTCCCCTCACTCCCTCGTGTTGTTCGCAACGCAAGCAACGCAAACCTTGTGTTCCCACGGGCCACGTGGACGGCGTAGCCTTGTGTTCCCACGCAGCCTGGATTAATTAGTTAATTTACTTTATTGTCCTTGTACCTCGTACAACGAAATCAAACACCATCTTCAGTGGACATCATGACCATGAAAATAAACACAAACGCACATCCTTCACACTCCACAATAATTGCTTTGGGGGTGACATTTCTCTGCGGACCACCTAAATTTTCTCACGGATCATCAGTGGCCCCCGGTCCATTGGTTGGTGACCACTGGGACTAACCTAATGACTGCGGTGAATCCCTTATCAACCGTGTCACTGAAAACTGCAACCGTTCGCTTAACAACGGTGGCAAGGAAGGTCATAAAATGAGGCCCAAACTCACTTTTACAAATATCTGGCTTAGCAAGGGGAATTTTGGCCTCCATTGCCAAATTAAGTCAAGGACTACTTACAATTCACCCCTTGGTCCATCTCACACGGCTGGCACCGTATTCCTGGGCCCAAGAAGCTGGGAATGTCGCTGATCGAAGAAAAGGAGAACCGGGAAACATGTGCAGAATGCAAAGAAAACCGTGCAAGTAATGGGTGTGTGTGTGTGTGTGTGTGTGTGTGTGTGTGTGGAGGGTTCAAGACCCACTTTTGGCTATTTCAGGATGAGCGGAATGGAAACACCAAGAGGGGGAGGGGGACACACTTCCTGCCCAGCCGCCAGTCTTCCTGTGGTCGCGGCCACCGCCCGTCCCCAAGTATTTCCCACCCGGACCCTTCCTCCATCGGTGACAAGGCTCTATTAATAGCAGGGGAGAGAATGGCAAAGCCGAAGGGCAGAAATAGCAAGAGAAGGGCTGGTCCCGAAAGGGGGAGGCTGAGAAAGGTAGTTTGGCCTAGTGGTTAAGGCACCAGCCTAGCTCTGCCTTAGGCATCGAAGCCGGCTGGGTGACTGTTGGCCAA